AACCTCCTTAACCCAAGAAGGGTTGTGTACAAAGACCCACAGCAAACTTCATACTTAATGGTGAAAGACTGAAGGCCTTCCCCTAAGATAGAGATCAGGAGCAAGATAAGGCTGTCTGTTTTGTCACTTCAGGAGGGGTTAGCAGGGCACTTAGGCAAGAAAATGAAACGATGTGACAGGAAGAAGTAAAACTATGTCTAATAACTGATAACACTTTTTTTTTTTTTTTTCTGAGACAGTCTCGCACTGTCACCCAGGCTGGAGTGCAGTGGCACAGTCTTGGGTCACTGCAACTTCCACCTTCTGGGTTCAAGAGATTCTCCTGCCTCAGTCTCCCAAGTAGCTGGGACTCCAGGCTTGTGCCACCATGCCCGGCTAATTTTTTTTTTTTTATATTTCTAGTAGAGATAGGATTTCACTATGTTGGCCAGACTGGTCTTGAACTCCTGACCTCGTGATCCGCCCACCTCAGGCTCCCAAAGTGCTGGGATTATAGGCGTGAGCCACCGTGCCCAGCGAACATGATCATATATATAGAAAATACTTTTGGCCGGGCGCGGTGGCTCACGCCTATAATCCCAGCACTTTGGGAGGCCGAGGCGGGTGGATCAAGTGGTCAAGAGATCAAGACCATCCTGGTCAACATGGTGAAACCCCGTCTCTACTAAAAATACAAAAATTAGCTGGGCATGGCGGTGCGCGCCTGTAGTCCCAGCTACTCGGGAGGCTGAGGCAGGAGAATTTCTTGAACCCAGAAGGTGGAGGTTGCGGTGAGCCGAGATCGCGCCATTGCCCTCCAGTCTGGGTAACAACAGCAAAACTCCGTCTCAAAAAAAAAAAAAAAGAAAAAGAAAAGAAAATACTTTATAAATATACATGTACACATACATGTATATGTACATATATATATATTTAGAGACGGGGTCTCGCTATGTTACCCAGGCTGGAGTGCAGTGGCTATTCAGGTGCGATCCCACTGCTGATCAGCACATGAGTTTTGACCTGCTCCATTTCCGACCTGGGCCGATTCACCCCTCCTTAGGCAACCTAGTGGTTCCCTGCTCCTGGGAGGTCACCATATTGATGCCCAACGTAGTGCGGACACCCGATTGGTATAGCGCACTACAGCCCAGAACTCCTGGGCTCAAGGGATCCTCCCACCTCAGCCTCCCAAGTAGCTGGGTCTACAGGCACTCACCACTGCACCTGGCATACATAGAAAATACTAAGAAATCCACTGAAAATCAGTTATATTTTTCTCCAGGCAAGATGGTTCATGCCTGTAATCCCAGCTCTTTGGGAGGTGAAGGTAGGAGGACCTCTTAAGCCCAGGAGTTCAAGTTTACAGCTAGATCATGTCACTGCACTCCAGCCTGAGCAACAGAATGAAACCCCATCTCAAACGAATAAATAGAAATAAAACAATAAACTAAAATAAAAATCAGTTGTATTTTTATACATTTGCAATGAATTATCTGAGAATGAAATTAAAATTATCCCATTTACAACAGCATCAGCAAGAATGGAATTATTTGGAAATAAATGTAACAAAAGAAATGCAGCCGGGCTCGGTGGCTCACGTCTGTAATCCCAGCACTTTGGGAGGCCGAGGCGGGTGGATCATGAGGTCAAGAGATCGAGACCAACCTGGTCAACATGGTGAAACCCCCGTCTCTACTGAAAATACAAAAAATTAGTTGGGCATGGTGGCGCGTGCCTGTAATCCCAGCTACTCAGGAGGCTGAGGCAGGAGAATTGCCTGAACCCAGGAGGCGGAGGTTGCAGTGAGCCGAGATCGCGCCATTACACTCCGGCCTGAGCAACAAGAGCGAAACTCCATCTCAAAAAAAAAAAACAAACAAAACAAAAGAAATGCAAAACTTATACTCTGAAAACTACAAAACATTGTTGAAAAAATTAAGGAATATCTAAATAAGTGGAAAGACATCTCATGTGCACAGAAGAGGTAATATTGTTAAGGTGGCAGTACTCCCCAAATCAATATATAGATTTAAAATAATTCCTATCAAAATCCCAGCTGACTTCTTTGTATAAATTGGTAATGTTTGCTGGGTGCGGTGGCTCATGCCTGTAATCCCAGCAGTTTGGGAGGCCAAGGCGGGCAGATCACTTGAGCCAGGAGTTCAAGACCATCCTGGGGAATATGGTGAAACCCTGTCTCTACTCAAAGTACAAAAAAATTGGCCAGGCGTGGTGGCTTACGCCCATAGTCCCAGCACTTTGGGAGGCTGAGGCAGGTGGATCACCTGCGGTCAAGAGTTTGAGAACAGGCTGGCCAACATGGCAAAAACCCGTCTCTACTAAAAATACAAAATCATTCAGGCATTGTGGCATGTGCCTGTAGTGTGAGCTACTCGGGAGGTTGAGGCAGAAGAATCACTTGAACCTCGGAGGTGGAGGTTGCAGTGAGCTGAGATCCCACCACTGTACTCCAGCCGGGGAGACAGAGTGAGACTCTGTCTCAAAAAAAAAAAAAGACCCCCAAAATATTAGCTAGGCATGGTGGCACACCTGTACTCGCAGCTACTTGGAAGGCTCAGGCAAGAGGATCACTTGAGCCCAGAAGTTTGCTGGGTTTCTTTTGTAGAATGAAATCAAAGGAAGGAAGGAAAGAAAGAAATTGGTAATGTGATTCTAAAATTTACATGGAAATTCAAGGGACACAGAGGAGCCAAAACAATATTGAGAAAGAAGAACAAACTTGGGGAACTCACATATCCTAATTTCAAAACTCTAAAAAGCTACACTCAAAAACTGATGAAAGAAATCAAAGAACTAAATAAATGGAGAAATGTTCCATGTTAATGGATAGGAAGACTCAATATTCTTTTTACCCCTTTAGATCCAGGAACAGACTGGAAAGACTAAAAAAAAATTTTTTTTTGAGATGCGGGTTTCTCTATGTTGGCCAGGCTGATCTCGAACTCCCGACCTCAGCTGATCTACCCACTTCGGTCTCCCAGAGTGCTGGGATTACAGGCACGAGCCACCGCACCCAGCCTGGAAAGACTAAGTATTGTAAAGATGTCAGTTTTCCCAACTTGATCTATAGAGTCAATGTCACCCCATCCAAAATCCCTGCAGGTTATTTTGTGGATATTGACAAACTGATTCTAAAGTTTATATAAAAAGTCAAAAGACCCAGAGTAGCCAACAATATTGGAGAAAAACAACATTACAGGACTGACACCACCCAGCTCCAGGACTTACTATAAAGAAACAGTAATTAAGACACTGTGGTCCAGTATTATCTCTGGGGACAGAGGGAGGGCACTGTGGTATTGGTGAAAGAATAGACTATTTGTTGGGAGGCGGAGGCACAAGAATTGCTTGAACCCGGGAGGCAGAGGTTACAGTGAGCCAAGATCACACCATTGCACTTCAGCCTAGGTGACAGAGCAAGACTGTCTCAAAATAAAATAAAATAATAAAATATAAATGTTTTATATATATAGATAATCAACTAATTTTTTTTTTTTGAGTTTTGCTCTGTTGCCCAGGCTGGAGTGCAATGTTATTACGGTCTTGGCTCACTGCAACTTCTGCTTCTCAGGTTCAAGTGATTCTCCTGCCTTGGCCTCCTAAGTAACTGAGTTTACAGGAGCCTGCCACCATGCCCGGCTAATTTTTATATTTTTAGTAGAAATGAGCTTTCACCATGTTGACCAGGCTGGTCTTGAACTCCTGATCTCAGGTGATCTATCCACCTCACCCTCTCAAAGTGCTGGGATTACAGGCATGAGCCACTGTGCCCTGCCTGGCACAATTCAGCATAAAGTTTTTGAGATCTTTGTATTATTCCAGTGGGACAGTTGGTGAAACTTGAGTACAATCTGTAAAATGCTTGACTAGTAACTGGTATCAATGGAAATCTCTTGGTTCATGTAACTGAATTATGGTTATACAAGATTTTGGTTTTTTGTTTGTTTGTTTTTGAGACAGAGTCTCCCTCTGTCGCCAGGCATGACCTCAGCTCACTGCTCCTAAATTCCAGCAATTCTCCTCCCTCAGCCTCCTGAGTGGCTGGGATTACAGGCAGCTGCCACCACACCCAGCTAATTTTTATATTTTTAGTAGAGATGGAGTTTCACTATGTTGGTCAGGCTAGTCTTGAGCCCCTGACCTTAGGTCATCTGCTCACCTCAGCCTTTCAAAGTGTTGGAATTACAGGTGTGAGCCACCATTCCTGGCTGAGACTGTAGATTTTTGCAAATTTTTGTAAATCTGAAATAATTTCAGCCAATCATGGTGACTCATGCCTATAATCCCAGCACTTTGGGAGGCTAAGGCAGCGGATCACTTGAACCCAGGAGTTTGAGACCATTCTGGCTAACGTAGCAAGACTGTCTCTGAAAAAAAAAAAAAAAAATTAGTGTCTGGGGTCCCAGCTACTTGGGAGGCTGAGGTGGGAGGATTGCTTGAGCCCAGGAGTTGAAGGATGTGGTGAGGCATGTTGAGCCACTGCACACTAGCCCAGGCAACAGAGCACAGTCCTGTCTCAAATATAAAATAATTTCTAAATAAATTCGTTTTTCAATCTCAGAGTCCTAGTCATGCACTGCTTATGATCCACTGCACGGAAGTTCTGATTTATTTTCTGTGCAGTGGTTATGCAGGCCTTTCTGCCTCCCAGAGGTCCTAGTGAGTGGGCATCAAAGGCTCCTCAGGGCTCTGTGGAGGCTCAGGGAGGAGCTTTCACTTCCATCCTAATGCTGGTGCCTCCAGAGCTAGATGTGAGGTTGGCGGCTGGGTGGACTGAGCTAGGGTGGGGGATTGGCCGGCCCTTCTGTCAGTTTGAGCTGGCTTGAGCCTAGACAGGGCCCTGACAGCCTGGGTGGGCTTAGAGGGAGGGAGGTGGGGACCAAGAGACCTGGGGAGGGCTCACAGGGCCAAGACCCAGGTTCCTGCCCTGCGCATCTGCCCAGGAACTTCCTTAGAAGCTGCTGATGTCAGGCTTTGGCTTCCTGCTGTGGGCTGAGGAGACGAACTCCGACAGGAGGACATTCAGGCCTTGGAGGAAATAAGAGCTCGGCTGACAGGAGGGCCTGGACTCATGCAAAGACACATGGACGCCAACAAGCACAGACACATGGATGTGTGACAGGCGACCAAGGAGCATGCAGATCTGTATGTATGGTGCACACAGACACACTGGGCACAGCCCATTGGCACCAATGTCAACCTCTGCATGGTGGCCTGCATCCCACCCTTCAGGCAGGCCCCATGAGGCAGAACAGAGGGCCTGCTGTCAGGGCAGGTTCCAGGGAGGGAGGCTGAGTGGGGAGAGAGAGCCAGAGGATGCAGCCACCATCATTCCCTGGCACTGCATCTCTGTGTCCATGCATCTAGAAGGCATTCTTCCATAGAGCCTCAAGAAGACTGTCATGCCTTGGTCTAAAGCAGGGGCCCGGCCTGAGCCCTGATCCCTGCCCTGGACCTCACAGAGGCCCTAGCTGGGGCATATCTGATTTCCAGGGGCGGGCCAATGATCAGGGAAGGAGGGATTCTGGGAGAGCCAGGCAGGCTCTGACCCTCAGGCTGGCGCTGGGCTTGGGGCAGCAAGGAAGGACCAGGTACAAGGGCAGAGCCACGTGGCCAGACCCCCACAGCACAACCAGTGCCTGCATGTGGGCTCCCCCAGCTCCTGCCTGTACCTCTGGTCAGTCTGGGCTTTGCCACTTCTGCCCAAAACCTACCGCAAACCTCCCCAAGCCAAAAGAGGAAGGGGCCATTAGGCACAACTGGGAAAGCTTGTTGGGGGCAGTCCAGGTGGGGCAAGGTGGTGGCTGGGGGCTCCAGGTGGGGTGAGGAAGGTGGCCGGGGGTGCACCAGGTGGGGTGAGGGGCTGGCCGGGAGGCTCCAGGTGGGGTGAAGTGGGGGCCCTGGGTGGGCGGTCCAGGAGACATAGTCCTCAGGTGCTGCCTCTCCTCCCAGCCTGACCCTGTGTGGGCTTCGTCCTCCTCAGGGTGGCCCATGGTAGTCCCCCTCCTCACTCTTTGTTTCCCGTCCCAAAGTTTTTTTTTTTTTCCTGCTCACACCAGTGATCTCCACACCTTAGGAGTCCTGTCCCAAAGTTCTAAGGAAGTTTCCAGAACTGTGTCTCACCATACCATTTTTTTTTTTTTTTTTTTTTGCCAGTCAGTTTGAGCTTATATGGTTGCTCAGGTTAGCCTTGAACTCATGACCTCGCCTTCGCAAGCACCACTACCTCCGGCCGGAGCCACTTTGGACCCCGCACCATACCATCTTGAGTCAGCCTTGGCTCAGTGTCCATCTCACAGGCCTGGAAGGGGCAGGAGTCAGCCTGTCCAGACCACAGAGCCTGAGTGTGGGGAGGGCTGCGGTCTTAGGAAGGTAGCAACGGGTTGTTACCCTGAGGCAAGAAGGCTTTAGGGCAGAAAGACACCACAGGTGACTGTGTGGGACTAGAAGCACAGGAGAGGCCTGGGAGAGGATTGGCCCACAAGAGCTGACCCTCCCTGCCAGCCAGGAGGCCTTGGACAGGCTCCCGGGCAGGATGGCCCTTGTGCATGGAGCCCCTGCGATCAGCTGAGGCTGGCAGGCAACATGTTTCCTGAAGGAGAAAAAGCTTGGTGGGGCCCAGTGTGGCTGGGGTTCACTTGGACTCTATTCTAAAGGCAAAGGTAGCTGGGAAGGGCTTCTGCAGAGGAGGGTGCAGCGGGGGTTGCCAGGAACAGCCTGGCTCAGGGCAGGGAACAGATAAGGTGGGTGGGGGAGTCAGCCCTGAGCCTGGAACTGGCTCCAGCCTGACACGAGGGTCCACAGGGCCTGCTGGGACCTGCTGAGCATGCAGGGCCCTGGAGAAAGTGGGACAATGCAGCAGGGGGCACACCCACAGCTGGAGCCGACCCAGATGGACAGCTTGGGCTCTGCCACATGAGGCTAGGCAAGGAAGGGGCAGGAAGTGGTGAGGCGGTCCCCAGCTGGCTGCTGTCCCCTGCTCAGGCTTTGGTTTCCTCCCTGCCAGCCTGGCCTGGCTCCCTGTGGTATGGTCATGCCCCACGAACCCCCTCCACTGAGACAGGGCGGGGAGATACCCAGGCTGCTCTTCCTCTTCTGGGCCGATCTCTGAGCAGCAGTCGGGGCTCAGCGCTCCCCAGCTCGCCTTTACACACAGCCCGTGCCACTGCAGACACCAGCATCATGAAAGACGAGGTGGCTCTTCTGGCCACCGTCACCCTCCTGGGAGTCCTGCTGCAAGGTGGGCTGGCTCCTATCTAGAAAGAGGGTGGGCCTCAGATCCCTGCAGCCTGCCCTCTGCCCCCTAGGCCCAGGGGGAGGGCAGGCCCAAGCTGGAGGAGGGTGGGGACGTGGGGGACACCCAGCTGTGAGAGCTGTGGGGCTTGAGGGTGGAAGGGTGCCAGAGCAAATAGTGGGATAGCCATGGGCTTGGGGAAGTTGATCCCTGCTCTTTCCAGATGTCCCCTCTCTGGTCATCCAAGAAAGCGGCTCCCATTCCCTGGCCCTGCTTCAAAGGCACCTCCATACTGGGACCACATGGAGGAGGGCAGGGGTGGGATTCCTTTCTCCAGCGCCCTAAAAGGAACCTGCTTGATACCTTTCTCAGCCTGGCTCTAGAGGACACATTCCTGGACCAGATATCCTTGCCACTTAGGGACACCACTGCCCCACAGTGTGTGGGCTAGGATAAGGCAAAGCCTAGGGAGGGGGCTCTGAAGGGGCTGAACAGACAGGCCAGCCTGACCTCCAGCTGTACCTGCACTGAGCTGGATGGCCACCCCGTGACACCCATCTGCAGAGGGCCCATCACCAAAGGTGCCAGTGCTCAAGGGGAGATGGTCAGACAGCAGGTCTCGGGAGGGAGTGCACACCCACCACTGGTCTGTGTGTGGTCCGGCCTGGCCTTCTGACCAAGGGGAGGGCTCCTGTTCAGGTAATCCATCGACCTAGGCCTCCCACCGAAGGCCAGCCCAGTCCTCTGCACCTACCCCAGTCCTGGGGTCCTGAGGTTAGGCTAGGAGAGTCCCAGCTGCAACCTCCTGGCAGCAGAAGAGAGGGTGTCTGTCAGATTTACGCCTGGGACCAGAATGCAGGAATAGAGAAAGTGAGGTTCGGAAGCACAGGGACCCAGGCTTTAGTGATCCTGGACTGAGGCAGGGTCAGAGGGCCCTGCTGATGGGCTCTGGTAAATGGGTGATCAGGGACTGTTAGCCACAGGGACTGTGCTTCCTTGCACCTTGGGAGGATACAGCCAGTTCTGCAATCAGGCCCCAGAGGCACTTCCTGGCCAGGGAGCTGAAAGCTGCATTTGCCTGTGTTTTGCGAGTGAAATGATTCAGAAACAAAGACTCAAGTGGGTTCTCTCGCGAGCAGGTGTCCCTGTGCCCGAATCATCCATCCTCCCCCATACACTCACAAGTTGGGACAGAGCCTCTCTGCGCCCCAGGCTTCAGCTCTGCCCTTCCCGCTGAACGTCAGGGACACAGGGCAGGCCAGGGATGGGTCAGGCAGATCTCCTCTGGAGAGAGCTGGTAGTTGTTCCGCCTTAGGGAAGGGAGGACACCGCCAAGTGCAGGGCCGGATTGCAGGATCCCTCCCACCCCCATCTCCGGATGTCCAGACCTGACTCCTGCTCCTCCTCCGCCCCCAGCCTACTTCTCTCTGCAGGTGATCTCGGCGCGCAGGGCCTTCCGCGTGTCGCCGCCGCTCACCACCGGCCCTCCCGAGTTCGAGCGCGTCTACCGAGCCCAGTGAGGCGCGGAGGGAGGGCGCGGGGAGGGGAGCGAGCCCCGGGCGGGTCCAGGTCGCAGGACCAGCCTGGCCAGGGGACTCATCCCACCCTCCCACCGCAGGGTGAACTGCAGCGAGTACTTCCCGCTGTTCCTCGCCACGCTTTGGGTCGCCGGCATCTTCTTTCACGAAGGTCCGGGTGTGGGGCAGGGGCGCACGCGCTGGAGCCCCTCGGGCCCGCGCAGCACGCTCACCAGGCCCGCGCGCACCTCTCGCAGGGGCGGCGGCCCTGTGCGGCCTGATCTACCTGTTCGCGCGCCTCCGCTACTTCCAGGGCTACGCGCGCTCCGCGCACCTCAGGTGAGGGCCCGGGGGGAGCCAGGCGGGGCCGGGGAAAGATCGCGGATAGGCGGGGCTCCCCGGGAGTGGGGCCCAAGCTGGGGGCGGGCCATGGGCCGGGGACCACCGCCTTTGGGGATTCGGTGGGCGAGCCCTGGCGGCTGCCGGCCTAAATCCCCGTGGGGCCGGGGTTGGGGTGGTCAAGAGGCGGGGCCTTCTCGCGCCACCGCCCGGCTGACCGCCGCCCGCAGGCTGGCCCCGCTGTACGTGAGCGCGCGCGCCCTCTGGCTGCTGGTGGCGCTGGCTGCCCTCGGCCTGCTCTCCCACTTCCTCCCGGCGGCGCTATGCGCCGCGCTCCTCGAACGGCTCCAGACGCTGCTGCCGTGGGCCTGAGACCAAGGCCGCAGGAGTCGGGGAAGAAGAGCCGGAGCCTCCAGCCAACCCTGGGAGGGGCGCTCGCCTCCGCTTTCTAGTCTCTCATTAAAGTTCTCATGACCCCGCCAAGGGCTGTGTTCTCTGGGTTTGCGGGGGCGGCGCACTGTGGGGAAGCCTGGAGTGGCCCAGCCCAAGGCTAGGGCATCCCGGCGTTCTTCCTAGAGGTGGCATGGGAGGGACTGCGAAGGAACGGGACCTTCCCTTGGGGCGGGACTGGGTCTGGTCTTAACTTCCCACTCCCACTCCCTACTCAGCCTCGGGGTCACAAGGCCGACCATTCCAACTTTCTCAGCGCTATCCTCACCGGTCCCCCTCCTCAGGGGCCTTCCCCTCTCCTGACACTCAGCCACCCAGTCCCTCGTCCCCTGGCCTTCACAGCTGACACTAGAACCTGTGGGCCCCCTGTCTACATGAGGACAGGGGCCTTTTCCTTTTGGTCAGCACTGGGTTCCCCGCGTTAATTGTAGGTGTTCAGGGCAGCCGTCCCAGGTCCGAAGAGCTGCGGGCACCATGGGAACATAGTGAGTGACAGGTGCTCTCAAGGAATGTCCAGAAGCCTTGGGGACCCAGGGGAGGCACACCGAAACAAAGTGATTTTTAGCCAAGCCTGCAGAAGGAGAAAGGAGAGCTTTCCAAGCAGGGGCAGTGGCGTGTGCAAAGGCCCTGAGGTAAATGGGAGACCCTAACATGTGCCACAGAGACTGTTGGGGACCCAGGATCAGGACCAAGCTGACACACACATAGGGGAACAAGGAGACTGGGAAATGCCTTCAGCTTGAGGCACTAAGGGCAGGCCTTATCCCAGGCCTTGGACATGGGGGAGGAGGCATTTGGGGGACTTGCGTCGGCATTGTAGTCCAGGATTCTGGGCTGGTTTCACTCGTGAATTATACTGACTTTGCAGCCTGATCCTAGAAATGGGAGTGAGGTGGCATGCAGCTGCACAGCCAGGTGCTGGGCCCCACACCTGCAGGTCAGGCTGGCTCCTTTGCTTAGCAGGGAGAGGTCACAGTTGGTGCTGGGTAGGGAGGCCCAGTGCCAGGCTTAGCTGGCATGTTGAGGCACAGACCAGACATCTGAAGCCAAGCACAGGGGCAGAGGAGATGTCCTGGGAGCTCACATTTGAGGCACACACTTCATTAACTCTTTATTACAAGTCACGCGCTTATAGAAGTATATGTGGACTTACGTGAAAAAATCAAATGTATCCAAGAATAAAAAACACAGCACATAAAGTAGTATATGCATTCCAGTGTTCGCGCCAGAGATAGCGGGCGCCCAAGTAAAAGCTCTTCTAAAACGACCTGGCTGGGGCAGGCCGGTGCAAACGGTTCCAGGCCTCAGGCACAGTGTGGGGGCCGCCTGCCTCCTCTGCGGCCTGGCGGGCGGGGACAGCACCAGCTCCTGGGGCCTCCGGGCCAGCGGCGGACCCCAGGCCGGCCCGAGCCTGGCGCCGGGCAGAACCCTTCAGGCAGGGCCATATCTGACCCTCCGGGGACAGCAATGACGACATTCCCCAGAAACATGGGCTTCAGGGCTGGCCACAGGGTACCCTCAGAAGCCCTCGGCTTAGTCGGCCTTTTTCAGGAAGATCTGGAAGAGCCAGGCCCAGGGTCAGCAGAGCCTCTGAGCTCCACGAAGGTCTCCCTCGCTGCTTCCCATGCCTGGCCTGGCCCTGCCCAGCCTCACCTCACTCAGAATCACCCATACAGGGGAGTCTGTCTGGATGGAGAGGCGCAGAGCTTCCAGAGGGCCGAAGGCTGGGTCCACCTCTCCCTCTGCCACTCCCTTGTAGAAGGAGCCTGGGGGAGGGCAGTGCTGAGAGGGTGTCCCTGAACCGCAGCCCACGCTCTCCCCCAGCCCCTACCCACCAATCTGGAGGTAGCCATCGGGGCTCCGAGGGTACCGGAGGGTGGCAGCACGGCCCTCCTGCAGGGCCTCCTTGTCCGACTGAGGGTTCTGGGGGCAGAATCAAGGGCTGAAGCAGGTGGCCTCGGGAGACCTGGCCTCAGTGCACACCATACCCTACCACACTTACATCAAAGGGAAGCACCTCCACAGACGTGTTGAAGAGCTTGTCCTCTGGGTGCTCAATGTTCCCACTGCGGAAGAAAAACCTGCAGCCAGGCAGGCCTGTGAGCTGCTCCAGGAGCAGTGCTCCAGCACAGCACCCAGGGCCCAACAGAGAAAGGCCAGGCCTGTGCCAGGGGGACTCCCAGGTGGCTGTCTGGCTGTGCAAAGTGACTAGGACCTTCCTCTGGGAGGATGGTGACAGGAAACATCCCTGAGCTCCTAGGGGCTGCTTGACTTAGTCCTTACAAGGCAGCTACCATTAGGAGGCCCACTTTTCAGATGAAAAAAAACTGAAGAATGTGGGGATAAGTAATTTGCTGGTAGAGCCTAAACCCTGGTGGCCACCCAGCCCTGCCCCCATTGCAGACCCACGGTGCTGGCACTGACCGCTCCAGTCGAAGGGGCTGGAAGAAACGGAAGCGGATGAAGTCCCCCGCGGCGGGAGTAAAGGCCCAGAAGAAGTCCTCGCGCAGGTAGGCTTTCTCCAGGGTGAAGTGCTGGTAAGTCTTCAGGCTTGTGCTCACCTCTGCTGGTGGATTCACGTGTTCCTTCCGCAGTGCCTGCTTTCCAAAGTCCTTGTCCTGCAGCAGTAGAGGGACAGCAGTGATGGCGTGGGCCCCAACCCAGACCCTGGCCTAGGGGGAGCATGCAGCGCAGCCCACCTTCAGTTTCTGGATCTTGCCAGCCAGTGAGGAGTGAGTACCCACGTGCTGAAAGAGGGACGGCTTGAAGCGGATCCGCAGGTTGGCCTTCTGCCGGTCACAGTGCTTCTGTGGAGGGTGGGAGACACCCCAGGGGGCTCGGCTTAGCCCTCCTTACCCAACATGGCCTCTCCTGGGGGATACCAAGGCCCTCCCACAGCTGACAGTGCTCTCTCTAGGTGATCAGACAGGAGAGGGACACAGTCTGTGCTGGAGGCTGCCTGCCCATTGGCCTTGCCCCTGCCAGTCCCACCACCCCTTGCTCACCGCATCCTTCTCTGGGTTGCAGACTTTCACCCACAGAATATGGTCCAGGAGCCAGTCGATGGGCTTGTCCCGGTAGAACATGAGGATGAACTCTACAATCAGGCTCAGGTCCAGCGACTTGAACATCTTCCCTGGTGGGGAGGGGACCTGAGTGGGCAGTGCTGCTCCACTGGACTTCCTCTTACTCCCTGCAGGGCTGTTCCCCCTCACCCCAGAGAGTCCCACAGCAAACCCAGGGGCAGGCTTCAGGCAGGTGTGGGCACAAGGAGACAGACAAGTGGTGACGCCAGACATGCCCAGTGCATAGGCAATGGGAACAGGCCAGGTGGGGCTGCAGCGCACACACACCAGGCAGGGCCCAATCTGGGCAAAGGCTCACAGCAGACACAGCGTGGGACTGGGAGAGAGGATGGCAGAGGCAGGTGGGACAGAAAGGCACAGTCAGGTTAGGGGAGGGGGCACACCAATGAAGCCCAGCTGAGAGAACTCCAAGATCATCCAGTCCTCTGAAGGCTGCTGTAGTGCGAAGTTCTTCATGGTGCTCAGGTAGTTGGGCTTGGCCACAATGTCGTCCTCCAGCTGCAGGGTGAGCAGAGAGGAGCTGTGACTCAGGAGGGGTACCCAGATGGACCAGACCCAGAGCAGGGGAGGGCAGCGCAGGGATCGGGGCTGACCTGCACGTAGTAGATGCCTTTGGACTGCGCGTACATCATGAGGAAGCAGTAATCGAGGTTCTGTTTGGTCCTCCACCTGTGGGCCGAGGCAGGGCCTCAGGAGCTAAGACTCCTCCACTTCCAGTGTGGCTCCGCAGAGAAGCCACTGGGTGGGCAGCCCTTGTCCCCTGACCCCCATGCACAGGTCATCCCATGGAGAATTCAGGGCACTGCAGGGCAACGCCCTGGACTCAGACACCAGTAGATGGGTTATCAGCACAGGTGGGCAGGTTGCTGGGAGTATGGGGGAATGCCAGTACCTGACTCTCTCCTTGGGGTCCCCAAAGGACTCTCGGAGACGGGAGAAGTCAGGGTAGAAGTGGGGAGAGGGTGAGATGACCTCCAGGAGCCCGGAATGGATCTCGGTGGGGAACCTGGGGGATGGGAAGGCCCAGTCCATATGCAGCCTCCAGAGGCTGAGGGGGGCTGAGTACATCAGACCCTGGCCCGTTTTTAAGACTCACCCAGTGCCAGCCCCCACCATCCCCCACACCCAGCCAACTGAGGCAGCGGGGATCCAGAGGGCTGGGCCACTTCTGCACACCCACCCTCTCCCCGACCAGGTCCTTGCCTCCTCACAAGATAGGGAAGGCACTATCTTCTGGGGAAGCAGGAACCTGCCAGAACAACACCCCTCCCACCACTAGCTCTCTGAGGCTGCCAGTACTCACAAGGCCTTGATATTCTCTGTCACTGCTGAAGTATACTGTGGGTCAGTCTGTGGGGAGACCAAGCACCCTCCCTTAGCCCTGCTGCTGCCCCAAGAGGCCTGGAAGAAGGGCTTGGAGAAAGGGCGCAGGCTTCAGATATCCCCCCACTCACATGGAGGGAGCAAGCCTGCTGTGCTGAGGGCGGAAGAAGGGGGCCCCCAGAGACAGCCCTTTCCCTTTGGGACACGCAGGACCACTGGCGGGGAGAGCTGGGTAACAGGCCTGAGGATGGGAGAGCACCAGAAAGCCCTTTCTTTTAAACTTTCTATCTTGGAACATTGGCCAATGAAACTAGCAGCTGAACTTCCCACAGCTTCCTTTTCTGGAATGGCTCCTGCTGTCATTTCTCCTGCATCACAGGGGCTCCTCTGAACTTCCCCCAACCCTGCAACCAGGCTCACTCACCTCAGCAATCAGCACCACAATGACTGAGTCCTCTTTCTCCTGTGGGCTCAGCTCGGAGATGAGTGAATGCAGCGTGTCAGTCAGGTACGAGTGCACCTCGCGCCGCACGCTTGGGATGCCCATCACCACCGACACTACAGGGGACAGAGGTGTGATGCTGGAAAGGGCATTGGGGGGACATCTCGCCCCCCTACCCTGCT